ATTTTGACTCTGAGGAAATCAGAAGTTCCATAGTGCCAGATCCTATGAATGAGATAGATGAAGACACACTGTAATGTTTTTATGAGCCTGCCTCCTCCATTGAATTGTACACAGTATTTCATAGCACTTGTAAAGACACTCATGAAAGATTTCCAGAACTGCTTCAGAAAGTAGCAAGAATAATGAGATGTGTTTGAAGCAAAGGAAAGTTATATAATAAGACCTAAGACAAATCAGAAAATTACATACAGTAAGTATCTACTCATTAAGGGAGAAAATTTAAAATGGATAAGGAAAAATAAATAAATAGGGAGGAGCAAAGATGGCGGATAGATAACAACTGGCTACAGAGGCTCCCTGAGATAGTCAACTTAGAATTCAACATAATACAAGGTGGGGAGCCCTAAACATAGGGAGATGAATTCTCTCATCTCAAGAAGAAATTAAGGTGATTTGCCAACACTCTGAGGTCCCACCGCAACTGGCCGCTGCTGTGACTTGCCAGGGTCCCACCGTGACTTACTGAGGTCCCACCACGACTTGCTGGGGTCCTGACATGACTTGCTGGGGTCCTGCCATGACTTTCCAAACAATCCAAGGTCCTGCTGCTTTGACTCACTGGAGGCGCAGTTAAATTAAGTTGGGGGTCAGCGAGCCAAATGGAGAGCTGAGTTGGCAGGGAGTCTACATCAACCTGTGGTGTGTGATGGGAGTGGAGCCATTCCATAAATAGGGGGGCTCTGGCAGATGATATTCTGGGACCAGGCAGGACTGGCAAGTACAAGGGGCAGCAGTGACTTCAGTCAGTTGTTCCCTTCCCAAACAGGATTGGTGGCGTGAGCTAGGCCTGAGTCACGTGACCCAGCTGAGGCCCAATAGGTTATCCAAGTTCAAGTCCCTGCAGCAGTGGCACACACTAACCACACTGGCCCAGTGGGGCCTCGGAGATTTGGTTGGTCTGAAGGGAGGCTGCACAAAGTAATACAGTAGTGCAGGCCACAGCAGGTTAACTGATCTGGAAGGGAGGGACCAGCATACACTGTCCTTGTCTGCAGCTCACTAGCTCACTGCACTATGAAGGGTCACCTAACCAGCATGCTTCAGAAAAATTGTAACCAACAAAGAAAGAAACTGGGGCCTCCTGGAAGAAGCAAAAAAGATGGGAAGAGGAAGCAACAACGAAAAGTCCCCAGGCCCCAACCTTGAGAACATTGACCCATGACAGGTAAATACAAAGGAGAATGAGAACAGCAAACATGCAATACCAGACACAGTGCCAGTGGACATAAAGAGATATATTTGGGACCTCATGGACAAGTTCAAAAGTGAAATATTTAGCCAAATAAAGCAAGATATAAGATGATTAATAAAAGAGATACTAAGCACTCCTCAAGCAGACACAGACAGAAGAAGGGAGGAACTCTACACAGGACAGAACCATTTGGTGAAGACTATTAAAAAATATAGAATACATAAAGCAGATTCAAAGAGATCACCAGGAAATTAAAAACTCTATGGAAAGATGGCAAATCAGCTTGAAAGAAACTAAGGATAGATTATCCAAACCAGAGGACAGTTTTGCAATGTGGGAGTACGAAAAGGAAAACTTTTTAAAAATAACAAGGAAACAAGCAGTAACAATACAAAGGCTAGAAGATGACAAAAGGATCTATAACTTGAGAATAAAGAATGTAAATGAAGAAGCTGGGATACAAACAAGGGAACTACAAAGGTTATTCACAGAAATTAAGGAAAACTTCCCAAACATAGGAAAAGGAAATGATATTCTGATATATGAGGCATACAGAACTCCAACCACCTACAGCCAAAACAGAGCTACCCCCAGGCATATAATAATCAAGATCCCAGAAATTCAATATAAGTACAGAATATTAAAAGCTGTTAGACAGAAAAAAAGGCGAGAATTGTTTGATGGAGAAAATAGAGAAAACATAGAATACGTGAAGCAGGTTCAAAGAGATTACCAGGAAAATAAAAACTCTTATTGAAAGCTGGCATAACAGCTTGAAAGAAACTAAGGATAGATTATCAGAACTGGAGGACAGAATTGTAAGGTGGGAGCATGAAATGAAAAACTTCTTAAAAATAACAAGAAAACAAACAGCAATAATACAAAGGCTAGAAGATGATAAGAGGATCTAACATAAGAATTAAGAACATAAAAGAAGAAGTAGGGACACAAACATATGAACTGCAAAGGCTATTCACAGAAATAATCCAGGAGAATTTCCCTAATTTAGCAAAAGGTAAAGATACTCACATGTATGAGGCATACAGGACCCCAGCCACCTACAACCCAAACAGAGCTACACCCAGGCATATAATAATCAAAATTCCAGAAATCCAATATAAGAACAGAATATTAAAAGCCATCAGAGACAAGAAACATATCACTTACAAGGGAACACCCATCAGAATTACAGCAGACTTCTCAGCACAAACCATCAAATCACGAAGAGTGTGGGGGGAAATAATTCGAGCTTTGAATGATAATAACCTCCAGCCAAGATTGATATATCCTGCACAACTGTCCCTAGAAATTGATGGAAAAACAAGGTGCTTCCAGGATAAAGAGGAACTAGGGGAATTTACAACCACCAATTCAACTCTACCGAGATTACTGCAAGATATTCTAAAAAGGAAAAATACCAAGATTCCAGAAACAGTGGCAGAGAGTCCACAATGAATGGAGCAGAAAGCAAAATGAAGACAAACTGATAGTGACAGAAAAAGAGCTCAACAGAAATGAGGCAGAGAAGGTTGGATGGTAGAAACAGCCATTTTGGAGAAAACAAGACATCATAATAGCTAGTGCTGATTTAATATCCTCTTCTTTTGAAGTCCCATCAAGCTTTTGTTCTTCTGTCTCCATCGGTTTTAATCTGTTGTATCTTATTGGATTTTATTATATATGATAATATAAACAAAAACTTTTATACACAAGGAGATTATACAGAAACCATTGTTCATTTTCTGTTAGTTGATTCTAAATACACTGTAGTACTGTCATTCTCTTGAATGGTTTTACATTGTCTTGATATGTTTGATGCTACAGTATACGAAGTTATACCCAAAGATTTTAAGGAAAGAGACACTATGGTAACTACTTTTATGTCGAGATTATCTTGTGGTGAAACATTATTTTGCTTAAATGGCTATGTTTTGACCTGCGCTGTTTTGTTGTTATGCACTCTTTTTTATCTCAATCTCCTTTTCATTATCTACTTTTTCATTTTACCCTATTAAGGGAAAAATAAATAAAAATAGCAGGATATATTATAGTAACCCACTTTGATTTCCTATTAACTTGATTCGAAACCCTGTATTGCTCTCACCATCTTGTTTTGACTGATTTTCCTCTATTCTGTTATGCTTGATAGTACCGAGTTTAAAAGTATAGGCAACAACTATGAAGACAATCAGATTCATTATGACGCCCATTCTGGTTGACTATTATCTTCTTTTGAAGTCCTCTAATGTCTCCAATGTTTTGGTTTTATTGGTCTTATTCTTTACTGTTTTGTTCAATTTTATTATAACTGATGGTATGCGCAATTCTTTTTAAGATAACAAGAGGCATTATGGTAACCATTGTTGATCACCTAGTATTTTGTTTTTACATTATGTATTATGTCCATCCTTTTGATTTGACTGACTCTATTTTGTTATGTCGCATTTGGTTTTACTTTCTTCAAAAAAAAGTAATAAGTACTGTGGGAGTAATAAAACCCAAAATGTGTAATTGTCAGTGTACAAAAGAAAGGAAAAGAAAGTGCTCTAAAGGATGTAACTGCATATATATTTAAGTGTATAAGATAACCATATTACTGAGTTTTGTTGGATCATTGAACAAAACTGTTTGCAGTCTCACTGTTTGAAAGTTCCCTCTATATGCTTTAATTTTGTAACTATAACAATTATTTCTAAGATGACAATATGTAATTAACTAGTGATTTCCTACTGTTTATTTTTTCTGAAATTCTGTATAACTTGTACCCTTTTTCTTTTTTTTTTTTCTTTTTTCTCCTTAAATAAAAAAAAGGCTGTTAGAGACAGATAACCTACAGAAGAAGGCCCATTAGAATAACGGCAGACTTCTTAACACAAACCATCAAGTCAAGAAGAATATGGAGCGAAATATTCCAATCCCTGGAAGAAAATAATCTCCATTCCAAATTGATGTACCCTGCTAAACTGTCTCTAGAAATTAAATTTTTGTACAGTGGTCTTATATGTCTTTTTTGTTTCAAGTGTTTATAGGAATATGTTTTGTTTTGCCTTGCTTTGTTTTGTTTCTCCCTCTAATATAGAAAGGATAGAAATACATGTTAAGACTCATGCATGTGTAGAATCTATAAACAATTTATGAGAACTGATCATATGACATATGATGAAATGAACAGATACTTTGAAGAAAAAGAGACACTAAAATACCCAGTGCTGATCCTGGAGTGTCATCCTGTGAAACCCAGCAATAGTATTATTCTTTGTTCAGAGTGATATTAGCCTGCTTGGTGTTATTCAGTCTCAACATAATTGAAGATATGGTTAACTGCACATATGTTTAAGTGTATAGGATTGATAACCATATTTCTAAGTTTTTGTTGGATAGTTGAACTGGTTGCAATTTCACTGTTTGAATCCCTACTTTATAAGCTCCACTTTAGTATTGTAAATAACTATTTGTAAGAAGACAATCTGTAATCATCAACTAGTGATTTCTTACTGTTTAGCTTTTCTTTGAAATTATGTATTATTTCTACCCATTTTGTTTTATTTAGTCTTTCTTTAAATTAAATTTTAAAAAAAACAGACACCACAGTACCCAGTGCTGATCACATAGTATCATGATGTGAAATCCAACAATACTATTATTCTTTGTTCAGAATGATTTTAACCTGCTTTAGTTTGTTTAATGTAAACACAAATGAAGATATGGATAACTGCATGTATGTTTAAGTGCATAGGATTGACAACCATGTTACTAAGTTTTTGTTGGACAGTTGAACAGAACTGTTTGAGCTGTCACTGTTTGAATTCCCACTTTACATGTTCCACTTTTGTATCTTGAACAACTATTTGTAAAACGACAATATGTAAACATCAACTAGTGATTTCTTACTGTTTATGTTTTTCTTCTCTGAAAGTATGTATTATTTCTATTTTCTGTTTTGTTTAGTCTTTAAATAAAATTTTAAAAAAAGAAAAATAAAGATTAAAAGCAAAGCTGAAGGACAAAGGAGGATTACTCAAGCCTTGGGAAACTGAAGACAGGAGGGGAAGAAAAGGAAAAAATGAAACAAGAAGAAATCTAAATGTTCACACTCACAAAAAACAAAAACGAACAATCAAAAAACTCACCAAAACCAACAGCAGAGACAAAGAAAGAATTTCTCTGTGATTTCAAGCCTATCATGGCTTGTCTCACTCAGAGCACAGCTGTGCTGTCTCTGGTAGCAGAGTCAAGATCTGTGCTGGATGACCCAGCAAGCCTGCCACAGAGTTAGGGCAGGGTGCCAGTTTTGGTACTTTCGGACCCACAGAAGTTTGGCTAATCATGGTGTCTGGTTGTGGTGCTGGGGCCTGAGTCAGTCAGCCGACAATTCTCTGGGTGTCCTTAGCAGGCCTGGCCTTCACTCCCTGACCCTGGACATCTCCTGAAGTTGTCTCTTCACTCAGTCATTATGGGATTTCAACACTGGGTGCCCTGAGATGAAGCTAACCCCTGGCTGCTCTGAGCTCCAGGTCCAGCTGGCCTCTTCCTCACATGGTACCTGTCCTCTTCAGGGGATACAGCAGTCTCTTGGCCTGGAGTCACTCGCCTGCCGCTGTAGCTCACAGCATCCACTGCTCTGTTCCACTGGTGGGTTCCTCCCTGGAGTCACCACCCTCACTGTGTCCCTGCGGATTTGATCCTCTTCTCTCCAGACACAAGCTGAGAGCCAGGTAAAAAGTACAGATTGCCTCCTCCTCTTTTCTGCTGTGGGTCAGTCTTTTCATTTTCTCTGTGGGCTCCAATTTTCCCTTCAGATCCTTCCTGCATCCCAGAGATCCATCATCCTCTTTTTCTTCCCCAAATTGTTTTACAGTGTCTGAATTCTCAATCTTGGAAAGGTCAGTTTGCCGTTGTTTACTGCTTTGCCAACTTTTCAGTTGAATTGAAAAGAAGCCATTTGTCTTGGTTATTTTTCTCTCATTGCTGAGACAAAATACCTGGGGCCCAAAATGAAGGAAGGAAAGGTTTATTTAGCTTATAATTTTTGGAGGTTGTAGTCCATACTCAGCTGGCTCCAAGGCAGGGTGGTGTGGCTAAGGGGCAGCTGTTCATGGCAGCTACAAGTGACAAGAGGGAACAGGGTGAAAAGGGCAAAGCAGGCTTCCCTCTCTTACATGGTATTCCACCTACCTGTTCCTGGGCAGCACTCACACCACCAATCCCAGCGCTAGACAGACAACCAATCACAAATGCTAGATTCAGCCGCCTCCATGACTGGCTGAGGCTTGGGGGCCATCCAAACATAAATCAAACACCATTGTATATCGGGTACCTACTCCCTTTGTGTTGGACACACTGCCTTTCCTGATGGGTATCTTGCCATCCTTTGGACATAGCTTGAAAACATTTTTTTAAAACTTTTGTTTAAAATCTCAGCTCTACTAAGCAGTTATACTTTTTGACAATGCATAGAGGCAAGTTTTAAAAGAAACCCAAGTAGACCTTACAAAAAACTGAAAAGTACTAAACTAACCATTTATTTCCAACCCACTTTTTAAAATTAGGCATTCTAAATATATATATGCCTGGCTCATGAGTTGCCCTTCTTTGTGCTCTCATCTTTCTGCACATGACAACATTTTAATAACACAGTGCATATATTAAATAGCACAATCATTTAATGGGATGTTTCTTTGACATCTCCCTCACTAAACTGGCATCCAGCAGACCAGTTCACCCATCTGGGGTTATTGATGCATTCAATGTGCTGAATTAGGCCTGCTTTTCAAAATTGTTTGTTGAACAAACAAATTGTCATTTTCAACTCCGGGCTTGGTCCTCAGTCTAATGAGGTAATTTTTAATTCATAGCACTAGTCCTTAATCAGATCAAATCTTCTCAGACCCACTTTTACTAAAAGAAATAGAAATAAAAACCCTACTGGGATACTCAGTTTTCAGTCACATCCTTGCCAGTGGTCATGTAAACTAACATGATTTTGATGGAAGGCACTTTGGCAATGTTTGTCAAAATTCCAGATTCTGGGAATTTCTCTCACAGAATTCTTCAGGCTTCAAAGATATGTGTAAGAACTTTCACTGTGGTGTTGTGTGACTAGCCAAAGACTGGGAATGGCCTGTGTGCCCACTCTGAGGGATCAGTTCAAGAAATCATATATTCATACAGAAAAGTCCAGAGGAAAAAGCATTACGCAGCTTGGTATGTATCCGTAAAACATATTAAGAAACATTATATTCAAGACTGCATGCCTGCAATCCCAGCACCTGGGAGACCTAGGCAGAAGGTTGGCTGCATGTTTGAGGCCAGCCTGAACAATATAGTGAGTTCAAAGCCAGTTTGAATTAGAGGAGATGCTGTCTCAAAAAACAAAACTGTATACTGGCCAGGTATGGTAGTGTACAACTGTAATCCTAGCTGCTCAGAGGCTGAGGCAAGAGGATGGCATGTTTGAGACTAGCCTGGTCAATTTACCAAGACTATGTCTTAAAACTAAAATTTAAAATAGCTCTGGCTATGTAGCTCCATGCATAAGTGCTTGCCTAGGGTGTGTGAGGCCCTGGGTTCAATCCCCAGTGTTACAAGGACTGTTTGGGGACACCATCATATATTATTACAAGATGAAGACAGGGACACACTAGTGTGCACTTGCACGGCCAGCTCTGAATGGATTTACAGAACACTCGAATTCTGCTTCAGGGAGCAGCCCGGATAGGTGAAGGGAGCTTCTATCGCTCCCAAACAGAAAGTGCCCTGCAGCTCACCATTTTCTTGCTGATCCTAGGATGAATCTGAGGTTCTCATGGTGCCTATGAGGTGTTTGGTGACAGAACCTTCCTGCTTCCCAGCCTTGGGTTCAGCCTCTGGGTTCCTAGTTGCCTTTAGTTCTGGGAAGACTACAGCCTATTGCATCTCCTCTGGAGACCCTCCCCGCAGCATCCTCTCACTTAGCCCTTCATCAGGTGACCTTTCCCTGCTCCCAGGTGAGTCCTTCCTCCCCCACACGACTTCTCTGGGGAACCGCACTTCCTGACTGTTCCACTCAGAGGCGCCCCAATGACTAAGCAGTAAACCATGCCTAGTGTGGATATTCTGTGCCCTGGGCCTGGCACAAAGCATTTCCTCCCTGCACACAGTGGGAGAAGAGGGGAAAGGGAAGAGATCAGGGAAGCAGAAAAGCAGCAGGAGCCAAGTACCTGGGGCCAGCAGTGCACCAGTACATTACTCCTCATCAGGAACCAGGATAAGGGCTCAGCATCTGTCATCTACTTGAACCTTCTACTGTGAGCTCGGTGGCCTTAGAATCTATAATTTTTCTTCTTTTTTGAGACAAGGCTTTGCAATACAGTTCCAGCTGGCCTTGGACTCACTGTGTGGCCCAGGCTGTCCTCTAACTCCAGGCAATCCTCTTGCCTCAGCCTCCCAAGTGCTGGGATTACAGGCATGCAATACCACACTCAGTTCTAGATTTTATAATTGATAGAAACTGTATATTTTGGTTCAATTAATGAACACATTTGTCAAAGCCACTGAATATTTTTTTCTTTTGTCAAGGACTGTTATCTGAATGTCTCTTGTCTCTTTTCCCTTACCACCTGAACAGCAATAGCATGTCACATAAAAAGCAATGATTTCAATCTATTATGAGTAGGACAATATTTCAATATATACACATTAGGACTTTAGCTTTTGTTGTTGTTGTTGTTGTTTGTACTGGGAGTTGTACCCAGAGCTATTTCTCCAGCCTCTTTCTGTTTTGAGATAAGTTCTCTCCATAACTCACTGAGTTGCCCATGCTGAGCTTAAACTTATGCCTTTCCTGCCTCAGCCTCCCAGAGTGCTGGGGTTACAGGTGCGTGCCACCCTGCCTGGCTATTTTTAATATTATTTTTAAAAGCTACATCAATGCTATCTTTAAACATAAATCAGATGGTCATGTGTTGCATTTAGGGTAAGAAGCAAGTTCCTTACCCCGCCTCCAAATCCCTGAGGGAGAAGCCACCACCTGCCTCCTGTGCTGCCCCTCGGGCCTTCTGCCAAGCTGTCCTTGTCCCTGAGAGCTGTCACTCCACAGCACTTCCTGGAATGCTATCCTCACTGGGGCAGCAACCAGGAAAGCCTTTCTTTTTTTTTTTTTTTTTTTTTATCTTTTTCCTTTTTATTGGTACCAGGGATCGAACCCACGACTGCCTGCTTGCAAGGCAGGCGCTTATGCTGCTGAGCTAAATCCCCAGCCCCTAGGAAAGCCTTTCTAATCCCTCTGGGGCAATGGGCTCTGTGGATCCCAGGAGCTCCAGGCTGCTGGCTATCTGGTGTAGGGGCTGCACTTGCAGCTGGGCCTGAAAGCCAGGCTGGACTTCAGACTCCAGACACAGCAGTGTTCAAGGACCCCGTGCCCTTGGCCTCTGAGTCATTACAGTGCAAAGCAATGGCTGCTCGCCCCTTTCCATGCCATCGGGTTTTGAAGTGATAAATTTAAATATTTGTAAAGTATATAATGTTTAATCTTCTAAAAAGCTGAACATATTCGTTGGAAATAAAATACCAACTCAATCTGATTCCTGCCTTTGTTCCTTTAAAAAATATGTTCAAGGGCTGGGGATATAGCTCAGCAGCACAGTGCCTGTCCAACAAGCTCAAGGTAATAAATTCAATTCCTGGGACAAAAAAAAAAAAAAAAAAAAAAAAAAAAAAAAAAAAAAACCAAAAAAAAAAAAACTTCATGAGTCCATTAACAGTGGGAAATAGTGCAGTGTTTATTTTTCTCTCAAAAATCTATATTTTTATTCCATCCTTTTCCCCCCTCCCAATGTCATATACTTTTACTTTCAAAAGTCTGCTATTAGTAGACCTGTTGTCTTTCTGCACCAAAATATGTATGCACATTTTAATTAAATTTTCAACATTTCTTGTGATTTCAATTCTCAAATTGTTAAAGTTTCTATAATTGTAATTAGTTATTATAATTATCAGTAGTACACAGCAAGAAGTAGTAGCACATGCCTGTAATCCCAGTACTCAGAAGGCTGAAGCAGGAGGCTTACTATGAATTCAAGGCCACTTTGGGCTACATAGGAAGTTTAAAACCAGTCTCGATTACATAGCAAAACCCTGCCTCAAAAGAAAAAATAAAAGCCAGGCATGGTGGTACACACCTGTAATCCTAGCATTTGGGAGGCTGAGGCAGGAGGATCACTGGAAGTTCAAGGCTGGTCTGAGCTACAAAATGAGTTCAAGGCCAGCCTGAACTGCATAGTGAAACTCTGTCTCAAAAAATAAACAAATAAATAAAAAAGTAGTACAGCTGATTAGAAATATAAATGATGGTGGCCAGATATGGTGGTACATACCTGCAATCCCAGCACTTGGGAGGCTGATGCAAGAGGACTGCCAAGAGTCTGAGGTCAGCTGGGCTACATGGTGAGTTCAAGTCCAGCTCTTTTGGAGACCCTGTCTCAAAAACCAACCAAAAAGAAAGAGAAAAAGAAAGAAAAAAGGGGAGAGAAAAAAAAAACTGTGGTATTGGGCATTAAATCCAGGGTATTCTATCACTGAGCTACAGCTGAAGAATCTTCCTGCCTCAGCCTCTCAAGTAGCTAAGATTACAGGCCTACAGCATGATGCCCAGTGAAACAGTTCTCCAAGTTAGATATATGGGGGCTGGGGATTTAGCTCAGCGGCATAAGCGCTTGCCTTGCAAGCAGGCAGTCGTGAGTTCGATCCCTGGTACCGATAAAAACAAAAAAGACAAAAAAAAAATTTAACTAAGTTAGATATATGGAACTATGTTTTCAGTTGGTTTCTGCATGTTTGAATATTTATTGTCAGAATGACAGTTTAGAATTGGTTCTATGCCTATTTGGTTATAGATGTAAGTCTGAGAGATTTTTTTCATCCAGATAAGTAAATAGGGAAAAATATGTTGTTATAGCAGCATTATTCAATTCTCTAAACTTCCACATTTTACATCAGAAATCACGAAACAATGTATCACTAAAAATCATTATTAATGCTCTACTTATATGTCTTAATCCAATCATATTGATATAAAATCACTGGGAACTACTTGACTTGCAAAAAATTAATCAGTCATTAAAGTCCACTACTTAGGGAGTCTTCCTGGTGTTTAATGTCCTGGTGGTCTTTACATTCAAGAAGGTGCAGATTTTATATTCACACCACAGAAAAATTTGGGAGGAGTGGAACGCATTCATCCTGACTTTCTTAAATGGTGGGGTGACTTTCTGTTTTACCTTTCTTTGTTTCTCTAGACAGGATTTCACTATGTGGTCAGGCCAACCTAGAACCTGGAATTCTCCTGCCTCAGCCTCCCAAGTACTGGGGTTACACCAATATGTTCTGCCCTCAAGGACAGATGATTAGAGGAAAGGTCAGCAGGGAACCCACTCAACCCCTGGACCAAGAACAAATCTTCAAGCAGCAGAAGGTAGGAAACAGCACGGTTCTTTCTCCCTTCTGCTCCATGGAGCTGTAGGTCTGTCAAAAAGCTATATATTCAAATACTTCTCCACCTCTCCTGTTTACAGAGTTTGTGGTCTGTGAACTATTGTAAACTCTTGTCAGATTATACAAAATAGTACTAGGAAATCCAAAGGTGTTGTATCCAGTGGATCTGGTATCTCGGGGTCCTAAAGCAGTCACCCTAGCTGGGCCTGATACTCTCTCCCACATAGAAAGAGGAAAGGGGGGTGGAAAAGAGAATCAGCACAAGACCAAAGCTTCATGGCGGGAATACACAGTACAAAGCCACTCTGGAGGAGGACAGGCCTGGAGCTGGTCATCACTAAGCACCACCAGCCAGTGGTCCTATTTTATGGGGTAGAGGTCCCCTGTCCTCCCTTGGAGGGTCACAACTTGACTGGTTACTGGACTTTTTGCTGGGGGGCTAGGTTTGGGGTTACAGGGGGATTCTGAGGGCAAAGGGAACCTACCCAGAGGAGCTCAATGGCTCAGTGCTGGCTGTGCAGAAGCAGGCATTAAACCGCAGGCTGTCAGTTCAGCTGCTTGTTGAGCCACAGAAACTGTTTTCTTTCTACTTCTTAGAGGATCCTGGCTCCCTAAACTAACCCCCGTGAGGAAGGTGTCTGTCCCTACAAAGGTTTCCTACGAACACCACAATCCGGTAGGAAAAGCTGAGACTCGAGGGGCAGCGGGAAGCCAAGGCATCAGGGTCTCTTTCAGATGAGACCTGGCGGGACCCTGAAGGATGTGTTCTTGTGAGAACATTCTCTTCCATCATTTGGGGTGCTGATGGGGCAGTCCTCCTTTCTAGGCCTCTCTGCTGATTCCGGGCAAGGATGACGCTCAGAGCGATGCTGGGAGTGCTAGCAGTATGAGGAGAGCCGTGTGGCTGAGTCCATGTCCCATCAGTCCACACCACACCCAGGCTCTTGGCCTGTGCACTTTCCCTGGATCCTGACCATGTTCCCTGATCTTAGTCTTTAACCAGGGTGCTGTCTTGGTGGAATCTGGGAATCTGGGACCTTCTCTAGAGGCTTTACCCATTAATCACTCTACCTGGCTCCCCAAATGCAGTCCTGAACATGCTTGAGGAAGTTTCGTTAGTGCTTGAGTTTCCTTTGAAATAAATGTCATTGTTCCTAATTACACTTACCCGCATACGGAGAACCATATTCTGCAGTGTCCACTAGTCCCTGAGGTGAGGTTGCTCCCGCCCGTCTTCACATCAGCTCAGCTCCTGAAGTGCACACACAGCGGCAGGGAGGAGTCCAGAGTCGGTTTTCTTCTCGATCCTGCCCAGGCTCACCCCTTGCTCATGCATCCCGGCTCAGCGAGTATATTTGCACTTCAGCTCAACCCAAGGGCTTGAGAGCTTTCCGGGAAGAGTCTGCCCTCCTTTCCAGATGAAGACAGACCAACAGAATTAGGGTTTCTTTTCCACACCTTTAGATTTTTCTTTTTCCTGCCATTGCTTTTCTCAGCATGATTTTTAGCTTTTTTGACCTTCCCCCACATCCCTGCAGATATTACCCCTATATCATCGCTTTGTCTAGCTAGCAGTCCGCCAATGTGTTGTTCTGGCATCCTGTAATTCTGAGGATTTCTGAGGCCCCAGGAGGTAAATACCAAAGCCATGAAATCTACAGACACAATATGGTCCTTTCAGGAGAGAGGACGTGTTTACTGGCAAGGAATAACGCTCACCTGGCTGAAGGGCAGCATCTCTCAGCTTCTTATGCTTTGTTTTGCTCCATTTATTTTCCACAACCACAGCAACCCTTAGCCTTTCCAAAGCTAAACAATCTCCACTCTGGGATGTTGAGGCAGGAGGGTCATGAGCTTATCCCCAGCAATTCAGTAATTTAATTGGAGATCCTGCCTCAAAACAGGAGATTAGCAGATGGGGATTTAGCTCAGTGGCACAGCGCCTACCTGAGTTTGATTCCCAGTACCAAAAAAAAAAAAAAAAAAAAAAAAAAGCAATGGGGAGGGATTAGCCAGGCATGGAGGCTCATGTTTGTAATCCCAGCATTCAGGAGGCTGAGGCAGGAGGATGGCCATGAGATGGAGTTCAAGGCCAACTGGGTTACATAGTGAATTTAAGACCAACTTGAACCAGATAGTGAGACCCTGTCTCAAAAAGGAAAAAAAAGGGTGAGGGGAGCTGGGGACGTATGGGGATGGCCCTGGGTTCAATCCCCACTACCGTAAAAACAAACCCTTAGCATCCTCTGGTTTCCCAGTCTCTGGTTGGGAAGAAAGCAACCTCTTGGGCCATTAATCGGGCTCATTGCCGGTCGACCTGTCTCTGCCTGACTGCCTCATTCTGGTAGCTTCTTGGCAGACACTCATGCTTGAAGCCTCCTCCAACCACAGGACTGGACCAGGAATCAACCTGCTAGCCAGACTCATTCCCCAGAACCTGACTCCCGTGAGAATTTAAATTTCACACTTGATTCAAGTCACCCCCCAAACTTCCCTCAGCACACACTAGGTCTGTGGCCCCTGCTAAGTCCCACTGTACCGTACCCTAGTGCAGTGTTCATCTTCACTCAGTGCTCACGCTGGGAGGCCCCTTCCTGCAGGACAGCTGCAGCAGGGTTGCTCCAGGTTGGGCCTCTGGGCTCAGTGGCAGGAGCATGGGAAGGAAGGTGCCTGAGAGAAAGTGGCAGAGCAATGTGGCTCGACTCACTGAGTGGCCCCCTCTCGGCTGCACAGGAGACCCCGGGGAGTCCCAGAGTGCCCAGGTGACTGGAATGGCACAGTCATCCTGAGTGGTAGAAGTTTGCCAAAGGCTTCAAACCGCCATTGCACCTGAGAAAGGGAAGTGAGGCCAGGTGGGCTCAAAAGACAGGAAGAGTAGAAGGGCAAGGTGTGAGGCCCTGCACAGCTCAGGCTCAGGGAGCCCTGGGGGCACCGGGTGCTGCCTCTGAGTGGGAGACGGACCTGTGGTGATGGGGGTGGGAATGCCCCTGGCACGAGGACCAGAGAACAAGGAGGTCAGAAGAGGCAGCGTGGCAGAAGAGGAAAGGACAGGAACAGGAAGATGATTGGTAGTGATGGTCTCAGCTTCAAAGGAGAAGGGAGTGAGGACGCAGGGACAGGAGGTTGCCAATGGCTGTGAGCAGCTGCATCCAGTCTTTACTCTCACAAGGGGTTTTGGGGAAGGTAGGAAGTGAGCAACCTGCTAAAAGCTGCAGATGCAGTTGGGTCCTGGAAAGAGAAGTCACCCTCAGTAGCTTTGAGGTCTGGTATCCCAAGGGCCCAGGATTTCTGTGTAAGTTTGCCAAACAGGGCGACAAGATAAATAAGGACCTGGAACTTAACCTGTGCTGCATTAATTACAGATTTAATGCAACCCCAATCAGAATACCAAGAGAATTCTTCACAGAACTAGAGAAAGCAATCTTAATGTAACAGAACCCCCCTGTCATCAGCCAGTATACTTCAGTTTCTTAGTTGCACAGGTAACAGTTTCTGTTCCAGTTCTAATTGCTTCTGATCTCTTAGAAACAGCTGGTCACTCTGAAACACAGTTCGTCACTATGATACACATGATAAGAATTAATCCCCAGTCCACAAGCCATTCTGCCTCTGTACTTCCTTCTTGTTTATCCCATACAAGCCCTAGACCACTAGAGATCAGGGCCTGATATTTTGGGAATGATCCTGACCAGTGCCCATTGATGTAAATAAGACTACCTCCAAATCCTGGTGGTGTTGCAGTGTTTCTGCTTGCTGTTGTACCTGATGCATCGGCTGAGAAGGCCGACCATGCTGATCTCTGTGGTCACTGGACATGGCCCTGGAGGATAAAACAAGGATCTCTCCAGTTCTCAATGGGAAGGTGAGCTATCAAGTTTTCTCCAGTGCCTTCAGCGGTCTTGGAGGAGGATTCCTAGCTCCCTGCTGGAGCAGCTTACAGAGAACCCTGAAGGGAGGAAGACACGATCTGTCTGCCTGCCTGCCTGATTCCAGTAAGACTCCTAGGGGCACCCAAGTTAGTCAGTCTGTCAGTCCTCAATTCAAGCACAAAAAGAGCTTGATTAACTCGTGCTAGTTAAGGGCACCCTCAAGGGAAGGAGGTTGGAATGTTTAACCTCTGAGTGCCTGCTGAATGAATGAATGTGTGAGTGAAATGAACAGCATATGCAATAGACTGCTCTGTCCGTGCACCAAGACTAGGAAGCACTGGTCTCAGTGGCTGATTGGGCACTCATCTGCAGTTCTGTGCCGATTTAAAATGTAACAGCAAGCCTCACACCCTCCTT